CGCAATTGGCAGTTTTCATACGTTTTGTTTCACCTGACTTCGTTATTAAAGAAGAATTATTAGATTTAGTCGCACTTCAAGAGTCGACCCTCAGTGTCGATGTTAAAAATGCATTAGATTCCATAATGAAAACTTTTGATGTGCCTTTTAATAAACTTGTCAGCATTGCAACTGTTGGAGCTTCGGCAATGCTGGGTAAAAAAAATCTGTCTTATTGGGCTTTTAAGAGATGATTCTCAAATTCCACAATGAATACCAATTCACTGTTTAATTCACCGAGAACATCTTGTTACAAAATATCTAAAATATCCTGATGTTATGAAAACAGTGTTACACATTGTAGATTACATTCGCACCAATGCAAAAAATCATCGACATTTCAAAAATTTCCTTAAAGAATTAAAGGACGAAGAGCTTCCAAATGACATTAATTTCTTTTGCATTGTTAGATGGCTATCTAGCTACAACGTATTAAATCGATTTGTAGATTTGTTTGATAGCTGCATTTCTAAAAGAAAAGGAAATAACCTATTCAGAATTAGACAATGACAAGTGGTTACAAGACTTAATGTTTTCGACTGATGTCATGGAACAATTGCAGGGGAAGGATAAAATAAAATCTGACCTCTCACAGTGTATATTTAGTTTTCAAACTAAATTACAACTTTTTCAAAAGGACATTAAAAATAAAACATTTTGTCATTTTCCTCAAATTAAAAAATTTGTTCCAATATTAAACAAGAAAAACTCAATGAGTATGTAAAAAAGCTAGAAGAAATATTGATGGAATTCCAAAATAGATTTCAAGACTTGAAATATTTTAAATCGTCTCTTGATATTTTTCTGAATCCATTTGAAATTAACATAATTCAAGGTGATTTTTTCCATTTCCAGTATAATTATGACCCAAAAAGCATCTGGAGAATTAGAATTAATAGAGATGCAAGAAGATCAAGCTCTACAATTAAAATATAAGTCAATGCCAATTACTGAATTTTTGAAATTTGTACCAGAATCTAAGTATCCTGAATTAAAAAAGGCTGCTTGTCGAATTATTTCAATATTCGGAACGACATACTTATGTGATTCATTTTATTCCACCTTAAAATTCGTGAAATCCAAACACCGATCAGTATTAACTAACCAGCATCTCAAAGAATTACTGAGATGTGCTGTCACCAATTATTCACCAAATTTTAAAGAATTATCAAGAGAAATAAAATAAATATGTTTAATTTTTAATATTCAAATTCAATATACATAGTTTGTACTTTTATTTATATGTTTTCAATAAATATAATTTTCTGTAAAAAATTTTTTAATACCTCTTAAATACGTATTTAATGCGGCTCGCGAAAAATTTCAAATTTTGAAAAATGGCTCGGACTATCAAGGATCTTGGCCACCCCTGTTCTATGGCATGTCACCAATTTTGTTGCCAAATGTGGCAACCCTGCACCCTTACCATTTTATGGCAACCATAAACCTGCCTTGCGGGGAAGCTATCTTACCGTGCCTGGACATTTCGTAACAGTATGTTCTATTTCTGATGTATTGTGGGAATATACAAACTAAGGCATTGGGCATATGCTAACTGATACACAAAGGGCACCTCACCTTTTTTTCTGCAATTTTATTTGGTTTAGCAATGGTCATATGGCAAAGTTAGCAAAATTTAAAAGTACAACCTGCATTAATTCATGAATACTTATAGCACATTAGAAAATGAAATAACAAAAAGGAATTATGCATATACTGGAGTTGGGGGAACATATATATTTGGAACCTAAAAATATTCAGAATTTGGTTTTATAGGAGAGACTATGCATTCCAAAAGAGATTGTCATTGGAAGAATAATATTCTGCACTGTTGGTCACAAATAAAATTATTTAAGTAAAATAGATGAAGCAGCAAGCATAATATCAATTTGTATGTGTAACTGCTTTCACCACAGAAGATTTTTACTCTATGAAGAAATACTAGTAAAAGCAGGATCAGTCTGAAGTTAAGTTTTGCCTAATTATAAAGTGTATTTTTATTGCTCTAATTTTTACTTTGGTATTAACTGGTATCTGCCAATGAACTACGAGCAGTCTATTAGTATCTTTTGGCAGTAAAATACACTTTCAATGTTAGCAGATGAATTGAATAGATTTTTTTTTTTTTAAAATTTCTCCTGGTTATTGTTTGGTAATCACATTCAAAATCTCATCAAATAAATTATTTTCTTCATCCATATGAATTGTGCTAACTAAAAAGGCAATTATCTTCCCTTGAACTAAATTTCAAATTTTACTTTACTACTTTTCAGCAGCTGATCACATCAGGTTTCTGTCATGCACAGTTTGTTGAATATGAATTGGGACATTGTGATTTATGGGAAAAACACGCATGTCTGGAAATAACGGATTGTTTCAACTTTTTACTGATCAGAATTAGTGAATGCTTGATGCAGAATGCAGTACAAATTAACATGGGATGAATAAACATTGTCTGCAAAACATTCCATAGGGAAAGGGACCACCTTCCAACAGACCTTGCAACAGACTGACGTTCCTCGTCGACCAGCACATGAGTGGCTGCAGCTCAGCTCAATATTTGTTATAAAATGGTTTGAAAGGTTCTGCGTTAAGAAAACATACGCCCCTTCCATATGCAGAATGCCCAATTCCTAGGCAATGCTAAATACTCCCTTTGGGTAGAGTTTGCACGCTGGACACTTGTGCCACACAGAACACACAGTCTGCGCCACTGTTTTATTGAGGTGAAGCCTGCTTTATGACAGAAGGTTTGTTCAACACACACAATATGCATATGTAGTCATTCAAAAATCCATTCAGCCACTATCTTGTCCCAACGTGCAACACAAATGTGGTATTAACATCTCTGCAGGGATTCTTGGAGATCATCTATTGGGACCATACCTTCTGCCTGAATGGTACGATTACCTTGTTTTCTCGGCAGCATGTTCTCCTGGATTTGATGCCATAAGAATACCAGCTACTGTGCGCCAGAACATGTCATATATACATAATGGTGCACTAGCACATTTTGAAATTGTGGTGTGTAACCGCTTTGATGCAACATATCCTGGAAGCTGCTTCTTGGCCTCCATCTTCCCCTGACCTCAATCCCTTGTATTTTTTCTTCTGGAGCCAGCTACCTGAAATCGGTTGTATATCAGACACCTATGGATACATTATAAGATCTAACAGTGCAGACTGTCATCGCTTCAGCAGACATCGCCAGAACACCAGGTATGTTTGAATGTATATGGCAATCCTTCGTCCTTCAGTGTCAGGTGTGCAGTGACCTTCACGACCACAACTTTGAACAATTCTTATAAAACTGTCTTGTCGTCTTGTTTCTGACGTTGAACTGTTGATGCATTGTAATCCTGCTTAAATCAAATACATGTTTTCTACTTCTTATTGACCCATTTTGTTCCATTTGATGTCACACCCTTCATAACTATTTTTGTGATTTTCTTCCTCTAAACATGATTTACTATGCCATGTTCTATGGCAATTTTCCATCTTCTTGATGTCTACTATAACCCCTCTGAATTTGTTGGTCGAATTTGAAACACCCTGTATATATATATATGAATATATAAAATTGAAAAAATTATACAAATAGGACTGACACTATCTTGTGCAACTGCACCTAAGATTATATTACTTAATTATTTACTATTTTAAATTGAAGCAAAATATAATAAAAGGTTTTAAAAAAAAAGTGGTCAAATTAGCAGTTAGTGGAAGTTGTTACATTAACGTGGTTTGAGTTGTAATAGTCATTTGGGGAAAAAATAATTATTATACATAATATATTGTGTATATGAGTGAGTATATATAGCTGAGTGGTATGTGTATATATGTAATTCTATAAATGACCTCTTTTAATTGTAATAAATTTAGGATATGGGGGTAGAGAAGACACCAATTATTTTTTAATCATGGTCCAGATGGTTATAAATGTGGTTAGCATTTAAGCGGAATACATAGTAAAAGAAACTGAGATCTGGACATAGCTAATGAGCCACATAATTTTATTTCTTGAGCCCACATGTTCTTGTTTATATATCGCTATGGGTGCAATAAGCATCTTGCAGTTTTTCATAGCACATTACGTTTCTTCAGATGAAAAATGAAGCAGAGCATCAAAATAAATCTTAAGACCAACAAAGCGAAGCGGAAGAAAAGTAAAGTATAGTAATAGTATAAAAAGTGTGCAATAGTAGTACTGGTATTTATTTCATTGCTTAAATTTTGGATTCGCGATTGGATATGAGCAGTCCCAATGCATGAGGATTATCTAAGGCTTCATTCAGATTATGGGTTTGTCATCATAATGCTTTGTGGTTTAAAGCATAAAAGTCATTAAGTGTACTCACATCTATTTAACAGGATTCAAGCCATAGTCAATTAGGAAAAAGAAAGTTACATGTGTGTAAATGTGTGTGTAACCACTGACTGATGCATGCTTTCCTGTGATTGGTGGTTCTTATACTAACTTGGCACAAAGTTGAAAAGCTAGAACTTTTAGGCAAAATCCCTAAACCAGGTTTTGTGCTATAGCAAGGTCTGGTTGCTTAGCAACGAAGTTTGGCCTAAACCTATTCTAATTTTGAAACCACAGTACGAACAAAGCTTACGTGAGCATGAAATGAAGAGATGCAGTGCAGGAAAATTATAACCAATTTAGAAGACAAAGGGGCAATAGCCAAATTCAAATGAAGACTTGAAAGGACTATCACCAGTTTAAAGTTAGCAGTTTTGAGCTTCATATTTTTTATCTTGCATATATATAAATACCACTCAGTATTAAAAAATTCTTTTAAATTTTATTTATATAAAAGGAATTACTTGGAACCACAGGCCTCTGTGGAACACAAATTGAATACCAAATCCATATTTCTTATACACAATTGCACTATCATGTAATTTTTATATTTTCCTGTTTATAAAATTTTTTTATTGAATCTTTTGGCATGTAGACAGTCCGGACTTTGAACAAGTATGTTATTCCTGTGTTCATGAATCCAGAAGTGCCATGGACGATAAAAGCAAATCACATTCAAATTGCTTTCCGGAAGGAAGTAAGTTGAATTCAACATACTTTTGTAGTTTGACAACTATTTTTGGATTTAAACCTGCAGAAATGTGAAAATTTTTTACATTATTTAATATTGGAAAAAATTCTGAATTGCTGCTCAGTTATGTTAATATTTCATGCTCCATCATTAAGTGCTTTACATGATTTATGTATCTTATCATTATGATTTCTCAACAATGTAGTCATTCATGTAATACAGTTGTTTTTGTTGTTTCTGTAAAATTCTTACACTTGACAAAAAATTGAAGTATGTACCAGGGTTTGTAGCGGTCCTTACAAGTGCTTATAAGTCCTTATATTTGAAAATAAAATATAAAGGCCCTTATAGGTGCTTACTTTTCTTTAAAGCCCTTATTTTTTTTTTTTTTTTGTTTGTTTGTTTTCAGTGCTTATTTTTTGCTTTTAGTGGTGCTTTTTTTTTTTAATCCTATTTTTATAATGAACGCGCATTTTTTCCCCCCCGTACCAAAGCCGAAACTAAATAAACAACTTTTCTTCCTTATATGCAACGTCAGATGGTGAATCATACTCCCGGAAATTGCTTTTTTCCCCCTTCCTCTGCATTAACGTAACCTATGGTGCACGCGAGAGTACAGACAGGTGCACGTCGTTCTATTGGCCAAAGAATTGCGAAACCGGTAGAAAATTCTGGTACATTCAGTATTCTTTTCCTCCCACCCAAATACTATATTTATTTCCTCCCACGCCAAATAATAAACATAAACACATGTTTGAATTTCTATCAAGGTTTTACTAATTTGCATTCTTGTTCTGCGTGGTCAGTTCATATTCGTGTTTATTATGATCGTTTATGCTTATATTATGAGCATATGTTTGAATATTATAATAATATATAGTTGCAGTAACTGCTGAAGTATAGATAAACTTCCAAAAATGGGTGTGTTTTTACACAGATTAGCTTTCTAAGGAATAATATTCGGAATGGCTTAAATAAAAGGAAGTAATCGAATAGTCAAAATAATTTCATTTTCTTTTCTTTGCCAATACATTATACAGTACGGAGGTGGGAGTTTCTCCGCAAAATCTCTAATATTGAAACAGCGGACTTTTTTTTGTGTCATTGCCCAATCTGGATTGAATAGGACTAAAAGTTTTTGCGGTCTACCCAACCCAAGCGAAGATTGATTCTTCTATTCCGGAAATTTATACAGTCTGTTTGAAAATTAGAATCAGAAACACCCCAGATTAGTAAGTCTCTTTCTTTTCCTTTATTTAGTTCTTTATTCTCCGAATACCGGCAGGTGGTTGATTCCGATTGCGTAATATCACATATGGAAGAATTACGCCGCACGTATTGCGCAATAAGGTTTTGCGGTATTTTGCAGAGATAATTAATTTTGATGTTCTGTCTGAGATTTGTTTGTGAACACTTTAAAAGAGTTTTACTGTGCGTTCCTAAGCAGAATGTTTCTTCAGTTCCATTGGTTTATTTTTATATAATGCACATATCGAAAGTGTCAAAAGCACTTATTTAGTGGAAATTTCAATCTAAAGACGTGGCTACAGTCTACCCCCCCTCCACTCCTCTTTTTCAAGTTACGCTCGACTCTCCGAATATTCGCCAATATCCAAGTATGCGGGTTTAGTTAAGCTTTTGCTGTTAAAGGATGACTGCATGAAGCAAAATTTCCCGTCTTCTGATTTCAGAAATGTGCCTCTTTTTTACTTAAATTACTTTGTTTGGGATATATGTTAAGGGAAAAACTGTTATGGAATGAAAATTTAGAAAATGTTCAGAATTTTGATTTAAGTTGAATTATTTAAATATTAATATGAGTGGAAAAATAAATTATATTTATTATTAGATGCCAGACGAATATAATTAATATGGCTTATTATTATTTATTTTTTTTCTATATTTTCAGCTGAAATATCATCAGTAAATTTTGTAATATAGTTTAGTTCTGCATAGTTTTTTTTTTCCTCTCATTGTAAACTAATTCTGTAAATTGAAACGTCATTTAAAAATAAAAAAAAGTTAATTGTTTTCCATTGTTGAGGTAATGCTCATTCTCCTAATAAATATTACATTGCTCATATTTTAAATTACAAGTCTAATTTTTCTTTTAAGGTTATGCAGTTGTGTATAATGTAATTAGACAGGTGCTTATTTTTTCCTTAAAATATGCTTGAAAAGTGCTTATAGGTGCTTATTTTTTTAACTAAAATGTGGCTATGAACCCTGTGCACACTTTATGTGATAATTGTTTTTAATGGGACTGCGAGAAGGAGAGATTTGAAGGATGGTGTAGTTAAGATAACTGTAAATGTGCCATCTCATCCATGAAACTAAAGGTTATTAGTCCTGAATTTTAGTTCTCTCACTTGGTACTGTTTAGAGATTTATATCTTTGGTTCTGCACATTGTTGCAAGGCCTTATGTTGCTTTTCATCATGCTGAATTCTGCACAATAGCAGAATTTGGGTATTTGTTTTGAGATATGATCCTATTAACTGTATAAATGTTTTATTCCTGTTTTTACCTTTGCGAGCAAATAGTGTCACATACATATCTTGCAAAAGTTCCCGGTACTTACGTATTAACGCAACCAGGCCAAAATTTGCATAAAGCGCCAAATTTGGCAACCCTACATGTTTAGATGAAAGTTTATTTGTAAAAAGAAAAAATAACACTGCGTGTGTACTACCACAGCAATGGGTTTTCGGCGGAATTTGCCGAGAAAAGAAAGAGACTTTTGGTTACTTACTGTACCTAACAGAAGCACCGTTACCCTCATGGAAAAAATTTGCGAAAATATCAAGGAAAAGCATCATTTATTCAGGATTGCTGGAAAGGATATAATACAAGTGAGTTCAAAAAATGCTGGATTTCTGCATGGAACTGTTAATCACAAATATAACTTCGTGGATCCCAACACGGGCGTTCACACACAACACGTAGAGCGCATGTGGGGCTCAGCCAAATGGCGCAACAAAAAACAGGAACAGCCCGTCATCATCTTCACTCATACCTTATCGAATTTATATGGCGCCTAGCTCAAGCTGTTAATGGCGAAGACGGTTTTTAATCAGTGCTAAAAGCAATAGCCAAAAGATTTCCACCAAAAAAATAATTCTGCAACTTATTCAAATTCGAAACCGGAAGGGTTTAATTGCTATTTTATATTTTAAAACAAAATAATATAAAAAACTGTATTAAAATTATCTGTAATTAATAAATGTACATTTTCTTTCTATTCATACTTTTTTACTCAAACTTACAAATCCCGCCAACCTGGTTGCGATGATACGTAAGTATCAAGTTCCCATACATATCATGTTAATTGGTTAAATTACTTTATGACATTGTGTGTGTATGTATATGTAAGATATAACAAAATATGATGACTGCTTTAAGAATAATTGGTGCCCTCAAAATTAACTATTCTAGATTTGGTGCTCTCTCCTAAATTCATCTGTTCTCCCAAATTCGAGATCTTTCCTTGTTTTATAACAACCTAAAATTATCCAATTATAACTTGTCTCTACAACTGCTCGTACTTCAGTATAAGTACTGCCCGCAAAAAATTATGTCATTCTTTTCCTTACTTCCGCCACTGCTAATATATCCTCGCTGCTAAGCCCACTTGCCTGAAATGACGTCATATGCCTCTACCTGCATATATAAGAAATCACTGTTATTGCTTATGATTTAGAAGTATTTAATTCACTAAGAAAATGATTTGATATGCTTGAAAATAAAGATTGGTGATTTGTTGAATTCCAGTTTCGTTATATTCGTCAGTATGTATTCAACCCCGGCCATGATGACTGCAAGCTGTTAATGCATCCCGTTTTCTCCTATGCATTAAATCATTATATCATATAAATATATATAATTAAAGAAAGGAGAGCAAACTAAAAAAGACCTTGTACGTATAATACAACATTTTGAACTGTATTTAACTGTTGTAATTTTTTTAAATTATTCCTTTTTCAATTTCTACTTCATCATTTCATGATTAATTTTTTAAAGGAATTTCTGTTTAAGGAATATCATTGCTGTTTAATTAACCAAAGGTTATTGTAAGGGGCAAAATTGCATTCAATATGTAGTCAGTAATTTTCTTTTGTCAGTGAAGAGGATAGTCTAATATGATATCCCTCTATAAAATTGCATTTAAATTATGCAAACAGTAAGTAATAATTGGCTAGAAATCCTCTTTTTTTTTTTTTTTTTTTTTTTTTGTGTGTGTGTGTTGGTGTGTGTGTGTGTGTGTGTGATTTCAAGCTATGTTACCTCCTGAAATAGTCTATCATCTTATTTATGTTTAATTTATGAACCTGCTGTCTCTATACCATTTAAATAAATATGTTAATTGTGCTGTCACAATCATGTTCTTTCAATATATATATAGATCCAGCTGAAATCACGTTATTTCAAAAATTATTAAAATTAAAAATGGTTGCTACTGGATCTTTAACACAGTGTGAAGGAATTTTTATCTTTATGCGTACATTAACTGTCCCGATGCTCTGTGGCAAGAAAAAATACTCTTTGTAACAGTAATAAAAGCATAAATTTATTTACTAAAAATGCAGGTTCGTTACTAGTTACAGTTTTACATACCATTTGTTACCTTACAAGAGGAAGAACACATTATTGCCATTCTGTTGCAGCTAATTATTGGCATGAAAGGGTGTGGCTCATCAATAGCCAACATTCCCAAGCAGGTTAACAAAAATTTTAACATTAAAATCTCTATTTTATGAAAAAAATAATACTTAAAGTATAAATTCTATACTGCTAAAATTACATTATTACAATTCTTTAAAATAATAATTTTATAAGTTCAGTCTTTTAAGAGTTTTAATCTCATGACCACATGCAGATCATTTTGGTACAGTCTCGGCAAGTTTTTTTACCTTTTCTATTGCCATCTCACTCTCATCAATTTTTGGATTGGGCTAAATCTTCTGTTACTTCAGCAGCATCTTGATGTCCAGAAATTTCTAACAGGTACATTCTTTGAATTGGTCATTACAATATGCAGTGCTGTCTTGCCATGTACAATTATCACTTTACTGCTGTGGCTTGGGATGAGCTCTATCACTTTCACAATGGGCGACCTAAGCATTTTTTGTTATCACCTCCGATTAATGTGATGTCATCAACATTTATCTTCTTCAACAATCTTTTATTTACCTCCATCTTCAGCTGGACTAAATATTCAATATAAACTCTTCGCTGTAACTCTTCTCTCAATCTTAGTCTGTATTTGTATTGTTTATTGAGATCTTGAGCTTCAGGAACAATTCTTTCTTAACAATTCTTCTAGAACACATGATTCCACCAACAGAATCAGAATTGCATTATATGTTTCAGCTGGTACACCTAGAGATTCTAATGTCCACAATTAAGATTCTAGTCTGTCATACAAACTGAAAAGGTGAGAAGTGAAATTTGTCGTGGTATTTTGAACGAATAATGACAAAAGTTCTCTAATGTAAACCTTTATTAATAAATCTTTTTTTCCCAAATCTGAAAGCTTCTATTACCTTGAGATAATTATCTGCAGTTTCAGGATAACTATCTACTAACTCTTTAGCATGAGAATTTATCATGGTTGATTAAATAAGATACTGGAATTTATCTGCAGGATCTATATTATAATCTTCATGTATTTTCTTAAATGAGGACCAAAATGGCAACCATTCATTAGTATTTCCATCAAATTTTTTAAATTCAATTTATGGAAATTTAAACTTTCTTTCTTGCAAATTATTTACACTATCATAAGAATGTGCCACACTATCAACATCAGTTTCTTTATTTTTCCAATGTAAAATTATTTTAATCTTAAAATCATAATTTAAGTTACATTCAACATAGTTCTAGTATGTTTTGCAGTATTCAATAAATCTAAAATATGTGTATTCATTTCGAATCATGCTGATGTCTTTTATTGGAACAAGGATACCATAACAGAAGTATTTACTCTTGATTTCTGACTATTGTATGTTTCACTGGGCAAAGAGTTTACAGAAATAACCAAACAAGTTTAAACTCAGGGAAATTAAATCTTCCCTGTCTGGAATTAGAAGGAGAGGTGATGATTTTTCAGGTTCCAGTTTACTATCTTTGCATTTTGTGCAATTCACTGAGAAATCTAGCACATCAAGCTGATATTATTGGTTATAAAAAGAGGCTGCTCGTTAGCTAATGGTTAAATATTATTTGCATCCATACACTATTATGTAAATTAAAAGAGTAAGAGTTTCAAAGATAGTTGGGTAACACTTAGAGGCTTTTATGCAGGAAATGGTGCAACAAGAAAATGACATAACACACTTAAAATGGCTAGTTGTAAAGAAAAGGAATAACTAAAATAAAAAGAATTTAAATTAATTTTGTTATCTTTTATATACATGATTTTATCTCTCTATATAGATATATATAGATGTATCTAAGTAATTCAAGAACTAATCCTTTCTTTTTATGTTAATGACATTTAGTGTATAAACAAATTCTGTCTAGGGTTTCTGGGTACCTTTGGATGCCATTGAAGTACCAAGTACTATAGATGGCCCTGACCCATTGAAAGAAGCTAAGGATTTTGCAGTTTTTATTACAGTAAGTAAATAATAAATCTTAATTTTATTATTACTCCTTTTCCAGTGTAACATCATATAGATAGTTAATCGATATTTTTATTAGAAATTATGTAATGTTCATTATTACTGTTAGCTTAAAATTTTTAATGAGTTTCATTAATGCATTTTAAAAGAAATTTTAAGAATATCTGTTCAGCATTCTAGAAATATTTATTTCTGTTTCCAAAAATTAATATAATGCCTAATAATTTTATACTAAATATTATATAATTTTCTGGTGGCAAAAATGTTAACATTTTTAAATAAACAGAAGTTTTCAGAAATTAATCTTTTTTGACAGTATGAAAGGTTCTATTTTTCTGTAAAATTAAGTATTCTTTTACTAGTTCATTCAGTTCTGATATATAAGCAATACAATTAAAAAAATATTGCAGAGCTTCTCAAGTACTTGTTTTAAATTAATATGTATCTGTAGGAGTCTCTCCAATAACTTGTTTTGTGGGTTAAGATTATATTAGGGTTTTACTTTATTTTTTGATGAAAATTAACAAGCATTATTTCATTTTCACCCTAAAAGACATTAAAATATGATTCATCTTCAAATTCAATCAATTCAGATATTGTCATATTTATATCCATTATATCATTTTCAAAACGTTAATATATATGTCATATGACTGGGTATTTGTTATAAGCAGGGAACTTTGTCGAAAACACTTACTAGTCTGACAAATGGTGATTGATAGTGCCTAAGCCTCAAGCCTCAGATTATTCTGTGATACTTGACAGCACCTCATTGTTTGTTCACCTCAAGATCATATGAGCCAAATTGTTTATTTTATAATTGGTAGAAATAAAAGTTTTGGAATTATTCCCTAATTTTCATTGAAGCAAAAAGGTGAAACTGCCCAGAATCTTAGACTGAACTACAAAAGTGTAAAAAATTAAAAAATGATTGAACTGCTACTCAGACTTGTAGGGGTATTCTTTCTGCAGAAGACAGACATACATGATTACATTCCGTATTTTTTTTATTATTTGGCTTTGATGAGAGTGATTATTTAAATTCAAATGCTTGCATAATTATGAAAACCAAAAATGCAAGCAGAAAATACAACTATGGCCAGATATTACCAATAAAGCTAGCTATTACTCCAAAACAGTTGTCTAAGTCAACTTATACACTATACCTTACTGCACTAAGTCAAATATATGCTATACCTTACTGCACTCCTCTCCATCTGTTAACTCCTTTTCCTCCATCTGTTAGCTTCAGTGTCAGAGACAACTAATTCTACTAATCCAGCTTTAAAAAGAAAATGATAGAATTTTATTTTTTGTTATACATTGATAAATGTTTTAAAAATAGTAATGATATGGAATTTGCACAAGACTAGAATTCGGCAGTTTGAAACTGAAAACTGCGCTTTAATAATTATATTAATAAAAATGTATTTTGTTAATTTCAAAAGTAGGCTAAATTCAACTTTAGACTGACACCAATCTTACAGAAAATCTACATTCAAGGAAAACTGATGCTAGTACTTAAAAATGCTTAGTAATTTTCTATAAAATCAGCGGTCAATTTAAAGTTGAATTTTGTCTAATTGTATGTTTCAAACAGACATGTCTCTTTCATTCATTATCTTATTCCTTTCCAGATCAATAACACAGAGAGGGTACCAGTACGATGTAGACTTTTCCACACACAAGTTGGATTAGAAACAGCAGAATTAGCTAACGAATTTTATTTAGATAAAGCAGAACCCATTTTGACTGAACAGAAGGAACTTTTAGAAAATATGCCAGTGCCAGAAATTTATGATCCATCAACAACAGTTTCATTAGTAGAAAAATATCGCATTCAGTATATCAAATAAATTAAATTTCTTCCTGTTTTATTTAATTTTGTTACAGTTATTTTCACAGACAAGTTTTAAATAAGATCCTCTTGAAGAAATATTGCAGTATAGTATTTTTTGAATTAAAAAATGCAACATAAGACATAAATTTTCTCATTCCTGGCCTTCCCCAAAATTACTAAATTTGGGCTCAGCTATTAAAAAAGGCATATCATGTGTAAGAGTTGGAGAAGTAAGGCCATTTAAGGGTTGGTTAGCCATAATCTACATACTATCTGATAAGAAAAGAGTAAATTTTCGAATTTTAAATGTCTCAATAAATAATTATGTTTCTGTCGTTTAAATGAACATCATATTTTAGAAGGTATAGAATCTAAATCTAATAACCAGAGAATAATATACTCATTCTTTAGTTTTTAAAGTTTGTACATTTTGTTCCCATAAATCACATTTTTGTTATCAGTTTTGGAAGTGCACTGTACTCTCAGACAAGTTATGTTAAAAAAAGTAAGCTTAAATGAAAGGATTGCTAATCATAATTATGAAAGCTCTCAAGCATGTGCTCCAATGAGTTAGTTATCCATACCTTTTGAACCGTAGTCACTTCATGTATACATATATATGTGCAGTATATGCAGAGTATATATATATATATATATGCAGAGTATATATATATATATATATTATATTAATAATATAATTGCTTAGCAACTTGGTGCCGATAAATGCACCATAAGGTAGGCTTGAAGACTGGTGTTGCAGGTATCTTATAATGGGAAATTCAGATTTGCAAATTATGAGGTGCACCTGTCGCCTCTTAATTTAGCAGCTGAAAAAGAGCAGCTTCTTTACCAAAATGTGGATGAAACCCTTTTGATGTTTATTATTATCTTGAAAAGAGTTCTAAAAGGAAGAAAAAATGAAACTTCCAACAGCTGCATATACTGAAATGAGAAAATTTTGAAACCTGTGTGTACACCTGGCTGTCTTTAAGAAATGCTTATCTAGAATCCTATTAAGAAGCCCACTCTTGCATTTTTTAAGAGAAGTAAATGCTTGGAAGTAAGAAAAGGCTCTATTGAAAGTTATAAAATACCTAAAGTAAATGGAGATGTAGTTACTACTTCCATTGTTAAAAATAGGTTAGAGAAAAATAATTTTCTGCACCATTCAGCAATTCAACTGGCAGTTCTCAAAATAATACTGCGAATATAAGCGTAAAACTGATACAATTCTCTCAAATAAAAAAAATTGCTCAACACACGAAGCATTTTCAATTACGTAAGTTTATTTTGTGAACGAATATTTATGTTTTTTTTCTTCGGACCTTAACAAGCTTTTTTCTTTTTTTTTTACATTCATTTGCCATCATTCGAGTTCTTAACACATTCTACAAAGCAGAATCCTTAATTCATGCTATGCAATCAATGATTTATGATCTTTAAAGACATTTCTCAAGTTTGTAAAACTAGTCTGTGTTTTGTCTTGTAATTCTATATATGATTTGATTTATGGTGAATAGAATCGAAGAAAGATGAAGATTTGGTAATAGGGCTGCAACTACAAAGTAGTGGAAGAACTTTTCAGAAGACAAAAATAAGTTTTATCATGTTAGAAGTTACTTTCTTCGAGTATGTGATTACATACAACATAATTCCAGTCACAATGAAGTGATTTTGCATGCTAAAGTTGATTATGTTTCTGCTCTAGCAATGCATCTTCTTCGGATATGGTACTTTTTGAACAGATTTCCTTTGTTACTTCATTTAGTCATGAAAATGAGATATTGATGTTACCACTGATAAATGCAGTCCAATTTTGCAGTTTACAATTAGAAAACTTGGATGACGTTATAAAATCAGCTAGCATGACATCCGTGGAGTTTAATTGGAAAACTTAAGGTACTGATGAATTTAAAATAAAGTGAACCTTTCTAGAATTATGTTGGCCATCCCACTTCCCCATAGTATTCAGAGTGTGAGGGATTTTCATGTTGTTGCGAAAACGAGGACTAAATTTAGATCTAATATTAATGATGACACATTAGAAAAGTTTTATTAGCAAAAGCAGGCCTACATGGCAATTGCTATGGGAAAAATTATTCAGTTTCTTTCTTAAAACAAAATTTGCCACTGTTGATAACATTTGTATGAAAACTGATTAAAGTGTCCCTTTTTACTTCTTTGTATGAACATTTTCAAAATAAGTAGTGAGGTTTTGAATAGGGACGCACTTAATTGATTTTAAAAAAAAAAAAAAAAAAACATGAAGTCAAATTGCCTTTTCTTCTGTAAATCCCAAGAACTCAGTTTACCGAATGCTCATTAACCGGATTGCAGAGTAACGGGGTTCACGGGAAAAGATAATTTAAGTTTGTTTATTTACAGAAGAACGGAAAAATGACTATCCTAAATCATCATTGTAATAGTAATCATAATAGTAATCGGTCATCATAGCTGCCCAGATGGTATAGTGGTTAGGGGACCTTATTGTGGTACTGAAGGGCTCGGGTTCGAATCCTGGAGAAGGCATGGATATTTGTAAATGAATAGTGTCTTAGCTCATGTTGGGAACTAAATTCGGCAAGCCAAAGGTCCTGTCTTGTGCTACTGCCCCTTTTCATAAGACACATTTCGAGCGTAGCGAAAACCATCTTGTCCTTACTTTCGTCATCTCGTACAATAGGTACGCCAAACAAACTTAGCCTGGTAATATGACTTTATAGGCTCTAGCCTTTTTACTCCTTGTATGAGTAAAAAGGAAGTATTGTAATCACAAAAGTTCAGGCAAGCATATTTCAACGAAATATCCATTCTTACCGCTATTGAATGCAATTAAACGATGTTTTCGCATGATATCTGTACAAGGACAGATAAAAGAGACTCGTTTTCCTCCAAAAATTATAAAGCTTTAAAATTTCATTCTGAAGAGAATTTTTGTGGCCATCTGTACGAACGTATTATCTCGCATAACTCAAAATACGAGTAGCCTCAGAACGTTGAAATTTGTATAGGACTGCTATAAACATGTAGATGTGCACCTCGTATTTTGGTTGCAATTGGCCGCTCCAAACGTATATAAATATATTTATATATATATCCACTCTGTTACCCGGCTCAGTGACGCAGTTTCTTTTACTCTTATATGTTTGTAAATTGTACATTTTTTGCTTTAAAAATGATTGAATTATGTTGTTTTTATCTTCCGGTTAAGGTTTTTTATGCCTTTAGTAAATCTGTATGCAATATTTTTTAGAATTATCAACAATTTTAAAGTTGTTTAAAGCTGCGAAGCCTTTTTTTTATGGCGGCCATTGTGTTTACATTTGAAACAGCAGACTATGGATTTGTTGCCAATCTAGAGAACTTAGCTTCGTAACAACAAAAATAACGCCTTCATTTATTATTGCCATGAAAATTAAATCATGCTTATCCTTTCTGGAATTTTTTCGAGGAAATAAGTGTTTTAAGATTTACTTTTCGTAATTTTTAATATAGATATTTTGAGTTTTTATGTATTTTTTTGCCTTCTCGCATAGTGAGAACTGAATTAATCGAAATGAAAATACTCAATCGTCCTGTGAAAACTATTTCTTTTTTTTGTTTGTTTTGCTTAATTTCTTTTATACATCATTCTAGCTTATTATAGTATTGAATAGAACATGTGGCAACGATCAGATAATTCTATTCTTTAAATGATATAATTTGTGCATTATGAGTTTATAATATGAACAAAATATAATACTGTTAAGTGAATCTAGCGCTATGGTAATCAGCGAATATAATAATCTAGCGAGTGTTGCTATGGTAAACAAATACTAGAGAGAATTTTAAAGAGTGCATTTATTCTATTGTGGTTTATGCGCTGTTGGCGAAGTAGATTTAATTCAATCCAATAAGTTTAAATGAAATGCAAGAAAAAATGCGTATAATGTAATATTCTGTACAAGGAAGTCGTGGTGTATACATAGATTTTTTTGTTGTTGTTTCCTTAACGATGCAATATAAAATGTTTTTTTTATGTGTAGGTTTTTTGTATTGCTTCATAGAATTAGTACTATTAAAATTAATTAATTTTAAAAGCTATATTTTTATCATTTAAAAAGTCTTTTTAACATTGTTAAAAATCCTGATTTTGAGTTCATAGGTTACAATGCTATAGGTATCACTTGGTACAACTTTGTAACTACCAAAGGTCTCGATACTTTTCTTGTATTGGTATTCTCCAGTTGAGTTAGGTACTCTTCTCATAACTATTATTTCTCCTCTTTGAAATGTTAAAAGAATTGCTTTCTTTTTCTCATACTTTTGCTTTCATTTTTCATCTGCGGTCTTCAGTTTTTTACCTAGCTTCATTCTGTAAGATTACGATTCTCCCATCATTTGCGTCTTCAATGTAATCATCCTCATCTATCCATTGTTAAATTTGTTGAATAACCGTGAAGCATTTTGAAAGTTTTTAATTTCTAGTCTTATTTATCATTGTTTAGAACCCAGCTCATTTTATTTCTTTTCATAGTTTATCACTGTAAGAGTGGCAACCATCTGATCTTGTTGTAGTTTTTTGTTGCAGTTCTATGGATTTGAAATAAATATGACGCTGTAGAATTTTATATGTAGTTTTTATTTTTATTTTTAAGTTTAGGAGAATACGGGTTAGTTCTGCAAATCTCGAACAATTTTGGTGACGCAGAATGATCGTAAAACAATCAAGGTAATTTGTTGTTTTATCGAATTTATTCTATTTGACTTTTTTAATTTAATTTTATTGAAATGATCGTTAATTGAGAACGAAAACCTGTCAGAGAGTCTTTTACGAGAACAATTAATGCAATTTTGCAAATAGAAAAGGAAATTCCTGATGCAAGACTGTAAAAAACGAAACTTGTTACTTTAAAACGTTTATCTGTTGAACTTAATGCATTTGATACTCAAATTAAATTCGGAATTTTCTTCAATATCAGTTTGAAAGTGAATGGGCGAAAAATTGAAGAATACAAGAAAAAATTAATTTATACGAGTAGAACGGAAATTAATTCT